TCTGTCTTCAGATTACGTGGAGGTTTTAGTCCGATGGGAAGCAGATTTTAAGCGACACCGAAGATAAACCAAAAATGTGGTGGAGCTGCAAACCGTGTAGTGTTGCTGGGACAGAACAGGAGCTATAACCGTTGGAAAATACATCACAGACAATGCAACAAACGTGGAGACAGAACAATCACTTCTGTGATAAATGCCCACTTATTAATAAACTTCTAACAACCATGGGAAACCTCCTCTCTACATATAAAGTGATATCCAAGCATGGGAAACAAAAGACAGCATTTACCTGTTTGCATCCAGCTAGCCAAGCCTTTCTTGTGTACCAGCTACTTGTGAAGCCTCGTGTATAAATTTTGTCTTTTTCACGAGATTGCTGCGATATATTCAAATCGGGTTGGTCCGGTGCAAGGTCTTTAAGCAACAATTTATCTGCCAAACTTCTCCTTTCGAAAGGATTGGAGATTAGCTCTTGAACAGAATTAGGCCGGGACCGAGGTCCGGAGACTCCACCTGCACACGAAGCCATCCTCATCAACTACTGCGTCAACCGGATACGAGTCACTGTCCAAACTACTCACAGACTGCACTGGGCGCTGACATTGGCGCCCGGTGACCGTCATCTTTGACGACGCTGATTGGCTGAAATTATATTTTCGCGGCATAGTTTACACGTTACAGATAGCAACAGTCAGCTGCTGGTGGCTGCTGCTGCACTGGTTGAAGGCTCCTCTCTTAGCGCCCAGACGAGAGAAGGTGCATGGGCAAGGCCAGGCAGGAAACATGTGACTTATCAGTAACTTTAGACATCGTAACACAATTTTAAACGAGATTTTATTGTAGATTATACATTTTACTGATACCAATTATATAATATTTACCTTGTTCATTAAAAATAAAAATAAAAACATATATATTTTTTTAAACATATATATTTTTTTTAATTTTAATTTTAATTATTATTATTTTTTTTTTTTTTCAATATGGGAAGAGGTGGGGCGGCGCCCCTAGCGCCCCTATGGACCGGCCGCCACTGCTCGTCACCCTCTCCCTCTGGTCCACATTAATACAAATGATCCCAATACGTATGATTGTATGAAAAGATCTTAAAATCAATACAAATGTATTTATTATAAACGTTAGTCCTTAACATCTATCACTGTGTATATCACCATTCAAACATCTTTTAAAAGTTGAACAAACCCCACACAGCTCAGTAAAGACTGTGAAATGTTGACTTTATTTGATCATTTCAGTAAAAACTAACGTTCATATTTCTCTTTTTGATTATAATACTGATGAACGTTCAAAACAAAGCACTTTGGCAACTTACCACATACGTTTTAAAATGCTTATTAAGCACCGTAACTTTCATGATATCATTTCTCGTTCATAATCGGTTGTTTCCGTGAACGGCCGACTGTTGTGTGACGGCAAATGCGGCGGCCGCAAGGCATTGTGGGGCAGCATTTTCTCCTCTCCTTTCGGTTAGGGAGGTCCAGTGGTTCCTAAGCTAAAGGAGGTTATAAAGGAAGTTTGAAACCTCCTTTCCTTTTAATTTAGAGAATTCGAACGGCACTTATCATGGCTGCCACTGAGGGACTTCCGGGTAATTTCACTCCGTTAGGAAGGTTCCTAAGCTAAATGGACTATTCGACCGCAACCCCGATCTCTGTAGATAAATAAAGAACTACGATAGATGTGTAATGTTTAATGCAGCCAAACCATTCATTACAATGCATTCATGTGATGACTTTCAAAGAGTAAAGCAAGCACTGCTGAATAAAGTATGATTTTATCTTTTACGAAACGTTTTTTTCATATGGAATGCAGTTGGAGGTCAACCAATCACAGAGCTTGAGGCAAAGCGGAACAATAGCTGAGGATTCTGGGTAGTGTAGTGTCTTCGGCCATCCTAAACTCTGAACAAATATTTGTTTCTCCGAATCGAAGGGGAAAATTACAAAATCATTGTACACAATGTAAACCAATCAATGTTGTGTAATTAACAAGGATAATCTGGTGTTTTTGAGTTGATGAGTAGTGCAGATATCACTGTAAAATCAATCGACAGTAAGGAGAATACTTACTTCCGGGTGTAAAATCCTCCGTTATCCAATGGGAATGGACGCTCACATTGCTCTCTGTGTCCGTAATACAATAAAGGGGACATGATCAAATAGGAATATAATTATCTTTTAAATAACGTTAACTAAAGGGAACAATCTATTTGACACAGCTGAAGCTCTGGCCTTCCTTAAAAACTAACTCATTTAATAAAAATCACAGTTGTATTACACACAATGCACTGTTTTTTGAGAACAAACATTTCGTAACTAATGCACCATAATACATTCTGACGAAAAATAAAAATGATTATGAATACAAATAAAATAAAAGAAGCCTCCCGTGAGTTACTACAAGCTATAAAGTAGATTTTACAAACGTTTTATAGAATAAAAGCTCACTGCTGGACAGCCTGGTGAGACCAGGTTGGCAAGGAGACGTATTGTGTGAAAAGAAATCTAAGATGTTGTTTAATTGCTGATATATTTATGATCCACGTCACGTTTTCAGTTTTGGCGGCAGTGCTTCCTGTTTGTCCAGAAGTCTTCTCATCAGGGCTCTATAAATAGAGAACTACGGCAGATATGTAATATTTAATGCAGCCGAACCGTGTTTTACAATGCCGTTATGTGATGACTTTCAAAGAGATAAGCAAGCACACTCGGAATAAAGTATTATTTTATTTTTAAAAAATGTTTTCGGATTTCACATCGCATAAACACCATTTCCCAACGTGCATTGCGGCTAAACCATCGAATCACCGAGCTGAGGATCTTTCCTACGTCTGTTTCTGGTATTTTTTATGACGTTTGTATTTTGTTATACACACATTCCTTCCCATTTAAATTTAAATTTACATTAAAGTATTTCGTGAGGCCTTCTAAAATGTTTTTAAATATAACTACGGTTCTAGTTGAAGAGTTTGTAAGTTAACATGAACCGAAGCTGTTGCCTGGCAACGCAATCGCACAACGTCACGTCCGTTAATTACACATCCACACACATGGATTAACATCGATTTAATACATTAATGTAGCCTTTGTTTCTGCTAAAAGAGGTGTCGACCAGCTAGGGCCACAAGAAAATCGGCGAAATCGAGTGTGACGATTAAATAATAAATTAAAAACATCTAATTTTGACAATAAAAACCGACCAATAGTCTTGGTAGAGCATTTGCTTGGCACTTCCGGGTATTTCTCCACTGGTTGGGCCATGTTAACAATACCGTGTAACGTTTGAAGGGACGAAACCGTGACATATTCACGTCTCCCAGCATGGTAGATCGTCACATGTTCATGTCTTGCCGTGATACCGGGTTGGTGAAAAGAGAACGCTGTGACTTTAAAACTCTTTCTTTGTTGTTGTTTTGTAATTTCCGTTTTAATGACCTGTTTAATTCATCTGACACCGGAATTCATGTTTACCTTTTTTCAGTGTGACATGTTAGTTATTAGATTAGATTAGACATACTTAATTGATACCAAGGAAATTAGGAAATTGTTTTCTTACAGCAACATGTTAATAAGGAATTGGATATAAATTCAAATATTATTTAAAAAAAACGATTTCAATAAATATTAACGGTAAATATTTATATTACAAGAATCAATAGAATACACAATCTAAAATATACAGAATAAGTCATACACTGTAAAATACCCACTTAACAAAATATATACATAAACAAAATGTTATACAAGTTTCAGTTTTTTAGGATTATTTTGTATCTTATTTGTTTTTCCATTTAGATAAGATAAGATAAGATAAGATAGTACTTTATTGATCCCAATTTGGGACATTTTTGAATCTTAGTCATCTTGACCAGGAGTTTTCATTGCCTTTTCTCAGAGAACTTCTGGAACGCTGCATTTTTCGACAAGGAGACGTCGTACCTCCACTTCCCGACCTTCCACGGAGAGCTGAGCGCGGATATCTCCTTCCTGTTTAAAACCACCGCCTCCTCCGGTGTGTTCCTGGAGAACCTGGGCATCAAAGACTTCATCCGGATCGAACTGAGCTGTAAGAGCTGGAGAATCAAGAATGAATCCAAATCAATCACATTTAAAGGGTGAGTGTGAGTCTTTAAAGCCCTTTATGTATGGTGGGATTTATAGTATGGCAGCGAAACTTAAATAGACTTAAAGAAACTCTATTAACCTTTTTGGGGTTCCCTTTCCTGTAGTGTGTAAGAAACGTCTACCAACCTGACAAATCATGTGCAGGGTTTACTAAAAGAGCTGCATCATGTTTTTCTGGAGAAAAATTCTTTTTTTCTTACTTAATTAATGAAAATGAAAATATATTTTTTTCGAAAAATAAGTTATAGTTATTTTTATAATAAAAAAATAGAAAGACTGAGATTTTCACTTGTATCCTCTTAACTCTTTTATTAACAAGAAAAATCCAAAACATTACATTTTTTCCAGACATGTAAATGTGGCACTCATCTCAGATGTTGAAAATAGAAACACAATTTATTACAAACTCAACCTGTTAGCTTTTCTTTTTTTATGAGTTTTCTTTTAATGTCTTTTGTTTCATTATTCAAACTTTCATTTATGCATTCAACACATTGAGACTTAGTCAAAAATAAAAGACATTTAGAATAAAATATCTCAAATGAAAGAAGCTCTGGTGCTTTCTCTCTTAAGACTCAAGCTTTACAAGAGAAACAACAACATACAAATACATCAATATCAATATTCAACACATATTTAGAGCAAAGTTTACATTTCCATGCAGAGAAATATGAGTTGAGGTTAACAGAAATCCTCCTGAGCAGTGACAGCCTCCATGGCTAAACAGACACAGGAAGGAGCGCCGCCTAAAGAAACTCCAACATCTACAGAACAACTCATGAGAAGATGTTAAAGCACATCCCATAATGTTTGATTGACAGCTGATCTCTGTGCAGTGAATACATGAACAATCAGCTCTCAGCAACAATGATGGACACACAATGAGTTTAAGAAGTAGAAGAGTTCCTCAAATGACTTCAGGCTATTTCAGTTTACACAACTCAGCTGTGTCTCCATAACCATAACCAAGCCAAACTCCAGCATGTAGCGGCTGTGTGAATGTGGTCTGGACTCTGTGGAGGAGAGTCATGGTTTCAGAGATGCTGTAGAAGGACAGAATACCTGCTCTGTGATCCAGGTACACTCCTACTCTGGAGGACAGAGGACCTGAGAAGGGAGTTTTGATATTGTTGTAAAAAAATGAATAACTTTTTTTTCTTTTTTTTTTGTTTTGAAACTCTAAGGACCAAGATTTGTCATTGTATCCAAATCCACTTTCCCTCCCTGCTCTGATGATATTCTTGTATGTGACTGCTACATCAACTCCTTCCCCTCTCCACTCCACCTCCCAGTAACAACGTCCAGTCAGACTCTCTCTACTCAGAACCTGAGGACAATAAGTGAATCTGTCTCGGTGACTAGAATAAAACTGTGGTTGTCTCATGTATGTTGCTTTTCTGCCCCCCTCAGATAATAACAGCTGTGGGTGTGCTGTGTTTGGATCCAGTGTGATTTCCTGTGAATATTTTAAGAACCCAGCTCTGGTGGTGGGCTCTGCTGCTGACAGTAAAACATCCACTTCAGTCGGTGAGACGTTTGTCCATTCCTCTCTCAGGACGTCCTGTAGTTTGTCTCTGACTGCTGACAGGGCCGCCGTCACGTCCTCAAAGTAGCTCAGAGGACGGATGTTGATGCTGGATGAGTGTGTAGGTTCACTGAGGGCTGACAGTGAGGGGTAGCTGTGCAGAAACTGGTTGTGATCCTCTGTGTGAGAGAGCAGATTCAGATCAGCGTCTCTCCTCTTCAGCTCAGCCATCTCCTGCTCCAGCTTCTCCTGAAGCTCTCTGACTCGACTCACTTCACTCTTCTGCTGGGATCTGACCTGCTGCTTCACATCAGAGCTTCTTTTCTCCATGAGACGGATCAGCTCAGTGAACATCTTCTCACTGTCCTCCACTGCTTTATCAGCAGAGCCATTGACGGCCTCCACCTCCTGCTGAAGCAGCTTCACCTCGTTCTCTCTGTCCTGGATTCTCTGCTGGATGTTTTCTCGACTCCCCTCCAGCTCTCTCTGCCTCTCAGTCCTTTCTGCTGCAGCTGACACTGTGTCGTGGCCTTTATGTTCGTCCACCGTGCAGAGATAACAGATACACTGCTGATCAGTGTGGCAGAACATCTTCATCACCTCGTCGTGACGAGAGCAGATGTTCTCCTGGAGCTTCTTGGAGGGCTCCACCAGCTTGTGTTTTTTTAATTGAGCTACGTCATAATGAGACTGGAGGTGTTTCTTGCAGTAAGATATAAGACACACGAGGCAGGACTTACAGGCTCTTAGTTTTCTCCCAGTGCAGACATCACAGGCCACATCTTCAGCTCCAGCATAGCAGTGATCAGCAGGAGCAGCTTGGAGTCCAGTCTTCTTCAGCTCCTCCACTAAAGCTGCTAACATGGTGTTTTTCAGCAGGACAGGCCTCGGTGTGAAGCTCTGCCTACACTGAGGGCAACTGTGGATCTTCTTCTCATCCTCTCCATCCCAGAAGCCTTTAATACACTTCATGCAGTAGCTGTGTCCACAGGTAGTCGTCACCGGATCCTTCAGTAGATCCAGACAGATCGAACAAGAGAAGGTTTCCCGGTCCAGCAGAACTCCTTTCTGCGCCATTTCACCTCTCAGTGGCAGCGAGTGTCTGAGTTTCACTTCCTGAAACTATGTGAGCTGTGATCTGAACAGCATGTGTGTGTGCAGTGAATTTGGCCTGTCAGCTCTTGTACTTTACCCACATGTTGGTTACACCCATCCTCCTCAGTGTGGATCTAAAGGGGAGGAGCCAGGAAATACAGAGTGGAGCTGGCTGTGTCTGAGCGCAGGAAGCAGGGAGGGCTCATCAAACTCTGACTCATTCCAGGAGGAGGAGCAGCGCTGACACTCTGAACTGAACACTCATTTACAAACGGAGCCTCGCTTACAACCTGCTCTACATTTGAAAACAGTCTTCAGCTGTAAAATATTTCCTGTTCAATAATCATGAGATAAATGCTTTCATTATTTGCTCCGAGGGGAGAGCTTTCTCTTGGGGTTATTGTTTCCTCTGGGCTGGTTCTCCTCCAGTCGTCTACTTTGAATGATGATGCTTTATCTGTTTCCTTTTTTTGTTCCGATCCATTTATTCTTTAATGTACCCTCATGTCTCTTTACTCTCCTTCATATAATGTCTGCATTTCTTTCTCACTCTTTGACATCTTCTTTTTCTCTTTCTTGGTGTCCTTGTTTTAAATATCTTCTCTGTCTTCTTCCTCTGCTGTAGACCAGTCTGGGTCAGTGGGTTCAGGTCAACCTTTAGTCAATGCCATGCGGACTGACTCTGCTCTGATTGGAGGTACTGAACCTTTTCTCCATATTTTACTGCAACAGGAACCGGTTCTACCTTGTTTTATTGAAACACCACTATCCTTGTTCTTTGCTACTTTATTGACCAGGCTCATGCACAGGATGTTAGAGGGGCAAGCTGGCGATTTTCGTTACTTTTAAATAAATATATGCCTGGAATTTACTTCTTTTGGGACAGATTTAAGGGATATTAAAATGTATGTGTTTAAACCATCCCATGACCTGGGTTGGTTTAAACACTGGTGTTAAAGGGGCCCTATTATGCTAAAGTTCAGGATTCATAATTGTATTCTGTGTCTCTACTGCAGTGTTTCTCAAAGTGGGGGGCGCAGAGGCATGACAGGGGGGGCGCAAGAGACCAGGAGGAAAATATGTTATGACGAAAAAAAATCATAATTTGAAAAAAAATGTATTCGAAAATAATATGCTACAGTCGAAGTACGTCTGGGTCTCTGTGTTTCATTCAAGCTCGGCTCTGTGTGTGTGTGGAATGAGCCATTTTGTGTGCGTGCGCGAGCGAGAGAGAGAGAGAGCGCACCGGTATCGGAGATCGTTGTTGTTAGCTTCTGGTGCTAGCGAGCTACGCTAACGGATATAAGGAGCTTTTTCAACAACAAGGTGGAGGAGAGTCCTAACTTCAGTCTAAGTTATCTCAGTGGGTCTCAAACGGTTTGGTCACGATTAATGTAAACAATTATTTCCGAGGCACACCTTTATATGATCATTATAGGTATACAAAAATAAGAGAATAAATGAAAAACAGGTATGAAATACTATATGACAGTAAAACAAGAATAACGTTTAAAAGGGAAGTGGGACCATGCCCCCGGACCCCCCTAGAGGATGTTAGGTCTACCATCCACTTATACAAATAGCACTTTACCCCTGCTTACACCTATATGCCGTGAGCTGATTATCGAGCCTTCATTGTCCCTCTCTGAACAGTTTTAAAGGTCAACTCAAAGAATGGTTGAGAAACAAACAGACGTGTAATCACCGCTAAATGCTCTTTAACACAGGGGTATCTCCTCTCGCACTTGATGTAGCTCTTTTATCTTCTCCTGCACTTTATATGTTGTAGCTGCTACATTGTACTGCCATGTGGTTAATGCTTATATGCTGCTCATGCTCTTTCTGCATATCATGTATTATGTTTGCTATGTATATAAATGTCAGGTTCTTATATGTTGTACGTGAGGGACTACGGATGGAAATTAGCTCAAAGCTAAAATCCGGCATGTTTATGTTTTAAAAAATAAATAATTCACTAATAATTTGGTTTATTTTTTAATAATTTTTTATATTTAAAAAAAAAAAAATCTGTCTCTGACCATTTGGTTGTTTTTATTCAAAAGTAACATACCAACGCAAAAATGTGTTATGTTTAAAAGAATGATGCTTCCCAAAAAAACGTTTGAAACAGATTGTGATGTCTGTCATATGGATGTTTATTTTATATTTTTAAGATTGGAGAAAAATTGGAGAAAAAGAACATTGATTTACTCTTCTAGCTCTGGCCCTCTGGAGCTCCAAAAGAGACCTCTATTGGCGCATTTCCACTACACGGTCGGCCTCGGCCACACTCGGTACGGCTCGGTACGGCTTGGCCACGTTGGGCCTTAACAGGGCCGACTCACTTCATGCTGCGCTTCCATTACAGTTTAGGAACTGGGGTAGTTACTATAGTAACGCAGTGTAGGCGGAGCGACGCTGCATACAACTGCCGTGACGTCATCTTCAATGCGACACAACTGACGAAACACGCAACAATGGAGGATGTGGATACCATCGTTAAGTTGTTTCTGTGTCTGTGGTGTTTTATCACAGCAAGAAGGAAGACTTTGTTTCGAAAAAGGCGGCTTATAGCAAGACGTAATAGAGAAGAAGCTCATGGGAGACTTATGGCAATCGTAGAAAGCGGCAGAGACTACTCCGGCACGACTCAACGCTACTCGGTAAGCTAACGTTCGCTAACTAGCAATGTGTTTCACGCTCACTATACGACCAAAGTGTTTCAAGTATTTAATTAATTGTAGCTACCACTTTTATGTATTAAAATATGTATGCTTTTGTTTGTGTATTTCAGACGTTAGGTCGCCGCCGCAGACCATGTGTTTGGATGCTCGACCGAGCTACCGAGTGGTGGGGTGTGATTGTTCCGTCTTTCACACACACTCAGTGGGTGGAAAACTTTAGGATGTCTGAGGACACATACACCTACCTGTGCAACAAACTGCGGCCAGCGATGGAGAGACAGGACACATCATTCCGCAAGTGTATACCTCTAAAGAAGAGGGTGGCCATCGCACTGTGGAAGCTTGCGACCGGCTCAGAGTACCGAAGCATTGGACATCTTTTCGGGGTGAGCAACACAACTGTGTGCCGGTGTGTGCACGACTTCTGTGCTGCTGCAGAGACTTTGTTAGTGCCGGAACTAATTCGTTCACCAGACCGGGCGAAGTTTGCAGAAATGGCCGACTACACTGAGACGAGGTGGGGGCTCCCACAGTGTGTAGGTGCTATTGATGGATCACACATACCCATCTTGGCACCACAGGAATACCACTGTGACTATTTTAACCGTAAAGGCTGGCACTCCATCATCCTTCAAGGAGTTGTTGATGGTAGGGGACATTTCTGGAATGTGTTTGCAGGAATGCCTGGGAGCATGCATGATGCTCGGGTTTTGAGGCTGTCCTCATTGTGGGAGTTGGCCAGTCGTGGCAACTACTTTCCAGCTTGCACCAGGAACATTGGTGGGGTTAATGCTGGCTACTACATCCTGGGAGACAATGCCTATCCCTTACAAAACTGGCTCATGAAAACGTTCCCTGACAATAGACAGCTGACAGCAGAACATGTGATCTACAACAAGGGCATTTGCAGAGCACGGGTAGTGGTCGAAAACGCATTTGGTAGACTGAAGGGAAGGTGGCGTTGCCTCATGAAAAGGAATGACTGTGATGTGAACCTTGTGAAATCTATGGTGCTGACATGATGTGCTCTGCATAACCTCTGCGAGAGTCATGGAGAGGCCTACGATGATGAATGGGATGCACCAGCAGCAGCAGCAGAGCCTGGGGTAGCAGTGGCAGTGGCACAAGGTGCAGAGGAGGGGGGCACTGACATAAGAGAGGGTTTGATGCGCTACCTGAATAGCAATTGAAAGATTGTGGGCCATTTAAGGGTAGTGACATTTTGTTTTGTGTTTATTATTACTACATTGTGTTGAACATAAATAAATCTTTTTTTCTCTTTCACATACATGTGTTTGTCAAATGATTTAAACCAAAAAATGTTATCAGAATTGACTATTTAGTAAATATTAGAATGTCAAGTACCAGTAAGTACTGCCCCATAATAAGAACATTTGAGCAAATATCAGATCCTGAAAAGAAAATCTCTAAATTAAGCAAATATCCAAGTAAACAAATACAAATGATCTCTTATCATCCTCTTTCCGTTTTTTTTCCGAAATACCCCCTTCCAGTTTATTTATAAAAGGTAGTCTTCGACTTTAATGTGTCAGTTACCAAAGAATGTTTTAGAGGAGGACCTGAAGCTAGCAAACTATTTCTTGCTTTAAATCTATTCTTCGAATTCCCTTTTTATCTTATGCCCTTTTTCCTAACTGGTGTTTCTTATTGCTTTATAAATTCATGTACAATGTTAGATCCCCAAATGTTATTAGTAGCCTATTTTTATTATTATTTAGAACAAATATAGGCCTATAACTTCAGCCTCAAAATTATGTGCATATGTGCATTTTTTTTTAAACGTTGGACTAAGACACAATTCTCAGTGATTTTGTTCTGCTGATTTAAAGGCCTTTAATGAAACGTGTACATTTCATTTCTGTTTATGATTGGATGACAAAATTGTGTGTGAGTGGCAACCCAGTGACTTTGTTTACATGGTCCCGAAAATCAGTTGGTTAATCAGATTATGGCAGGAAATCAGACGATGCATTTATCAACAAGAGATAAGATGAGAAGTACTTTATTGAATTATAAAAAAGCCATGGCATTGTACAAAATAAAAAAATGTGTTGCAGCATAAAAAAGCAAGATATTGTACAAAATTTAAAAATGTTGCTGCAGCATAAAAAGGCATGGCATTAAAAAAAAAAAAAAAAAAAAAGGTAAAACATGTACAAGACACTACTGTGGCAATTACAGAGGTTGGTCATCTTCATGAAGAGACGGGCCACGTCGGCTGTCCACAACCTGGCCAAGAGTGCGCAGGAAGGCTATGTTAAATGCCTGCGTTTGAGCGTTCTCCTCCCTTCTGAAGGCCATTTCCTCCTGCCTTGCCCGGGCAGTAGCCTCCATGGTCAGCTGCCAGTGCCGATCCACCTGGGCCAGGCTCCGCACATGGTGCCGTTCCTCCTGTGCTAGGTGCTCGTCTCCTCCTCGTTTCCTCTTGCCTGTATGATGATAAGATAATTATAGCAATAAGAATTAGCAATAACAATGAAAAACACAGGACAGGTACAGGTCACACAATGATTGTGAAAGTGAATTACATTATGTCCAGCCTGTTGATAATGAATATAAATATATGTATATAATAGGATGTCACACAAAATTGTACTAGCTGCTTACTAGCTAGTTACTTGTAACAGAGCACTTCCACACACTGGTATAGCTTATTTTACTTACTGACGATGGATGATCTAAAGTTTAAAAAAAAGTCACAATTGCAGTCGTTTTGCCATGCCTATTTCTTACCTAGAACACGCTGCGGTGTCGCGATGGCACTCGGCGTTGGTGGTTGAGTTGTCGGGTGTTCGGTTGGGCCTGGTGTCTGGGGTCGAGTTGGGGTCCCTTCTGGATTCGACGACGACGACGAGGACGGATCACCCACTATTCGGGACTGTTCCTCCTCACTCGAGACAATGGCATCATCTAGAACAGCAACATGACTTGTTAATTCCACAAACTACTGCAGCACAATACTAAATAGCAACAACAACAACTGTAGAAAAGAAAAACTGAACGTAAACAATGGCACATGTGGTGGTAGCAAACAATAGCTCTAGCTAATGCTATCTGCCCTAGCTATGTAGCTCTTCGGGGATCCATACAAGCATGGGTTGTAGAACTTAAATGTAAGGATAAAATAGACTTGTTTGTTAGAAGTGAGCTTTATAATAGATAGGGACACAACGTTTTCAAGCAAATAACAGAGCGTTAGCAAAGACTTACCATGCAGAGACTCCAGCAACGCGGTTGCAGAGTCCAGGCCTCCCTCCCTCCCAACGCTGGACGGTCTATGGCCATAAATATCGTCCATGAGGTCGAACCACTTCCAGCTTCTACTATCCGAACCACTCCGGCCGTTGTGGTCCTTGACGGCTCGATATTCACTCTTCAGCTTTTTCAATTTGTCCCTACACTGCTGGAAAGTCCTTGAGTATCCGCGTACGGACAACAGTGCAGAGACCTCCTGGAAAACTTTTAGGTTCCGAGTTGTGCCGTCGAGCTCCCGCTGTATTTTATCATCTGCTATCAGATGGAGGAACGTCGTGACCTCGTCAACGGACCACGGTGTGCTTTTTTTTGCCATTTCTAGCTTCTGTTTTCAAAAATGCTGCAAGCGTCACATTATATGCGACGCTAGGGATGATCAACTCTCGCGAGAATTGTGACGATTCTCTCTGACCAATCAGCAGTCCGCCCAGTTGTTGGCCCGCTAGTGTGGCCTCGATAGAACCACAATTTTCTAGGGCCAGAAAAGAGGTGAAAAAGTGGCCCCGCGCCGTGCCGCGCCGGAACTAGGCCTAGTGGAAGCACAACCAAAAAAGGGGACGGCACGACACGGCACGCTTAAAGCGAGCTCCGCGCTGCAGTGGAACTGCGCCATATGTGTCCCCAGACCACTACTGATGACCCAAAACCATTTCATCAGCCTGTCTTTCACTGAAGCACGTTATGGCGCGTTTCCACTACAGCCCGCAGCCCGGTTTAAGAGGGCTGTGACGTCAGCGGCCCGTCTTTGGTTGCGTTTCCACTTGGCCTAGTACCGGCCGGCGGGTCCTAATTCACAGTTTTTCTGGCCTCATAAAATCGTGGGTCCAGGGCCAGAGACAACGAGGCTGAGTCGGGCTGAGTATGCTAAACTAGAGAGAGCGTCGCTGGCAAGGGGGCAACAACTACAACAAGATGGACATATTTGACCGTGATTTAATTGTAATACACGTTTCAAAATGATGCCGAAGTAACAACATACTGATACCGGTTAGTAAAAACCATGAATTAATGCTTTGTCAAGTCTGCAGACAGACGGCAGGGGAAAAACCTTTTAAAATGCTTGTTTTCTAAATGGAGATTGGCTAAGCTAACGCAGTATATGCTCCGACCGTCCACACTCACAACAACGGCCTATACAGACATAAATAAAGCAGCGACTGTATTCACCATGACACAGGCAGTCTGTGGTTTGTACTTGTTTAACTTTTGTCTAGTTTCTGAACATATATGAGGAGCTGTGAGCTCTGAGTGCTAACAGCTAACGGCTGTGTTGTTTTTCTGGGGTCCTCTGAAGATCACGTCACGGCTCCGCCTACACTGCGTTACTATAGATACTGCCCCAGTTCCTAAACTGTAATGGAAATGCGCCATAAAGTGAGCCAGTCCTAACGAGGCCCAGCCATACCGAGCGGGGCCGAGCGAGGCCGTGTAGTGGAAACGCGCCATTAGAGGCCCTTACCAGTGCCCTGCACAAGACACATCACATTTCTCTTTTGGTATTAGATTTAAAATACATATCAAATCATGAACCTATTAGGAACTTTAACCTCAATTTGTGAATCAAATTCCTTGAACCTTCTTGTTCAGTGGTTCCCAGCGTTGACTAAATATTTTCATGAGGCGGTTCAAATACTTCAATAGAAGAGCAAACATACATATATATATATATATATATATATATATATATATATATATATATATATATACTGTATATGTTATGTATACTCACAGCTGATTGACAAACACACAGAGAGCTGTTGTGAGGAGCTGTTCTCCTGCCATGCACAGATATTGATCCTCTTCTACACTTCAACTAAACAAACAGTGATTCGTTTCAGATCATTGAAACAAGCTGCTCACCTGTTGATCAGAACACCCCTGCTGATGACATGGTACACTCCACTGAGATATTAATACACAGCCCTGATGTGTAGCTCTCCGTCATGTTGCTGCAGTGCAGAGCAGATACTGTGTGACTGTGGCTGCGTTTCACTTCTCTTATTTTTTATTTTTCTTTTCCTCGCTCCTCGGTCTCGGTCTCACCGGAAGTTGATTTGTCTGCGCCATCTTGAGTAGCGTCCCAATGGCCTTATTTTTGCCGGAGGACCGAGGACCGAGGAGCGAGGAGCGATAACGGAGGAGCTATAATCGAGGAACCACCAGACCATCCTTCGATGAAATCCTCAGACACTCGCCCCGCCCCCTTACTGTGTATCGCGCACTGATTGGACGATGCAGCGCATGCACTGATCTGATGCTTCTTGACATGAGAGCAGTTTCCCAGCGGAGTGAAGAAAACACATGAAACTCACGGGACTCACTCCTCAGTTTATACTGTGTTTTGTTTCAATGAATGCATCATTCAGTTACAAATATGTGATATATCTGAACAACAAAGTGGTCAAAAATTATTTTATTCATTTATTGGAAACATTTACATGATCGCTTTTTCGTTTTACATTTTCATTTATTGTCATTTCCATTCAGTCAGTCATTAAGTACTATTTAAAATGTTAATTTGCTACATATCCACACAAACAAAGTGTGCAATCCAATGAATGTTAATCTAACTGGGTTTTGATAGATAACATATCTCTTTTTCTTCTCTGAATTATTTTATTTCTATTGTGTACTCTAATCAATATTAATCTAACTAATGTTCGTTTATACATTTTAAGAATGGCGTTTATCTTTTTTGAGAATGAGTTCTTATTTGATTTTATTTATTTGGGTCTACAACAGATGATACAAATGTTTGTGTCAGTAAATGTGTACTAACAGAGGCGGGGGTGTGTGTGAAGAGCTGGTTGCTGTCAGACGAACAGCTGTGCGGCGTCATCACAAACGGACGTCGCTTCACGTGACGCTCCGGAGGAAAGGACGTCCCATTGCTCTTAAAACTCATTTCCCTGCTTCTCGTGGTTTCCTTGCGTCTCTCCATGCTTCCCTGGTGGGAGGGACTAGTCGCAGGGAAACGACGCAAGGAATCCATATAACCGAAGTGAAACGCAGCCCGTGTGTGTAGCTAAGGTTACCTGTGTGTCTCTGAGCATGCTCAGTAGAGCCAGCTGTCACCTGAGATGCACATGTGCTGTTTGAAATGAGCCGTTCACTTTGCTCCTTCCCATGTCATCTTCCTAAATTTCAATGGTGGAAGTACTCAGATATTTCACTCAAGTAAAAGTAGAAAATACTACTGTGTAAAAATACTTTATTTTACTTTACATTTCACCACTGGTAAATTTCAATATTGTTTTTTCACATCAGAAAAGAAAAGAAAATAGAGAAATGTGTTTTATTCATCACTTCATTTGTCAAACTATTCATGAAAATACATATTCATAGTGTCCATCTTCTCAAGAGTCTTTCAAACCTTATTGTTATATTATATAGTCACATTTCTGATGAAATGTTGATTCGTAGGTCATGTTATCATCATTAATGATTAACTGATGTTTTAGACAGTGATCCTCCACATATTCTAGTGCTCATGATTTACAAAGAGGCAGTAATGATAAATGAGGACATTAGTTCTCATTTCAAAAGGTGATCTCCAGTCATTATTTTAAGCGTAATGTAACCGGATAATATCATTGATGTAGTAAGCCCCTCCCCTTTATGGTGGTCTCCTCATCACATGGTCAGGACGATCTTCCCAGCAGCCCCGGGACACTGGATGATATCATGGTGGGCCTGGGGGGCCTGGTCCAGTGGGACCTGAGAGCCGACGACGGGCCGCAGCCAGCCGGCCTCCCCCCCCGCCAACAGCAGCGCCGCACACTGCCGGCTCTCCGCCTGAAACAGGAAGTACATCAGATATGTTCCAATAAACCGTGTGACAGCCTCTCAGGTGCGAGTAGGATAGAAACAGAGGTGGGAAATAGTGAAGTACAAATACTTCGCTAATTTACTTAAGTCGATTTTTCTGGTATCAGTACTTTACTCCACAATTTATTTCATAACTTTTGACTTTTACTCCTAACACACATACCTGTACTCTCTTCTTTTCACATTTTCAAAACAGGATTTAGTTTGAATCTGCATTTGGTGGCGTGATCATTATTATTTAGTCATTGAGCGCCTATTTACATTTTTTTCCTGGTCCTCTCTAAAGAAGAGGGACCAATGAGAACTCAGCTCGTTTCCCATGATCCACGGAGCTGTGCCAACGCTGGCAGTCAGCAGGAAGCAACTACTGGTATCCTACGAAGGTATTTCAACGGCGCAAGGCAGGAGGCAGCAAGACAACTGCTAGCACTGACAATAATACAATTTGAAATAGAAGTTCTTTAATGTTCTATAAAGTGAGGTCCAGTGACCAGCTGGTCTCTTCTGCTTTTTACTTCAGCCCATACTTCTTTACTTTTACTTGAGTAAAAAGCTTTAGTCTGTACTTCAACCTTTACCAGAGTATTTTTAAACACGAGTATCTGTACTTCTCCTTGAGTGAAGGATGTATGTGCTTTTGCCTTATCTGGATTTAAACCCAGAGAAATGTTGTCATCATAAACGGCACGACTCGGTTGGTTCATTTTTGGTTTTGCGTAGGTAAGTTATTGATGAACCCTTGTAGCTAACCTGTCCCTTGTCCTGCCCTTTGTCACATGCTAAGCTTTACAAGCCTTTGGAAATTATGAAATATATAAAGGATTGTTAGAACAATTTGCAATCTTTAATAGTTTCCACTCTGTGCTGCATGTCTGAGGTTTGCTGTGTCCTATCAGCATGTTATTAATGTGTACCTGCGTCATGTATGCTGTACTACATGTATATCCTAATGCTGCTAGCTGCCTGCAGGTCACCAAGTGTCAAACTAAACAGAATCAAGATTGCTTGGCTGAGTTTTGTTGCTTGATGTTATGCTATATATATCTGTTGTAATTTATTGTCTTTCCAATAACTGAATGTCAGTTCCATTGCACTGACATCCAGTCAAGGTTTTTGAGTTAGCTGAGCCGATACCTAAAGGGGACGCTTCTAACCCGTACTGGTGTTTAAACATGTCATTATATATTCCTTTTTTCAAACAGTCCAGATACCATCAATAGGCTCCGAAATGTTTACTAATTTCTACTGCACAGTTCTGCTCGTTTTAACCTACGTTTGGTAAAAGGTATTTTCGTTCTCAGCTGTAAATAGAAAGCAGTCTATATACTGTAAGCAGGATTCTTAGTAGTCCCATGTAGGGTCACAGCTGTGATCAGGTGTGACATCATGTTCAACCCAAAACAAAGCTCGGATCCTTTCATCGGCTCAGCACCATGTCTCCAACTCATGATTATGGAGAACCAAACAGCTGTTCCATGGGGGACTAGCTGTAGCTTGCAGTGGACATGAGGTTTAAAACATGGCTGTGTGATGTC